TATTTAAATTATGAAAACAGAATTTGAGTACCTTATTTTGTTTAAAAGTTATAACGCTTAATATGATGTTTAGTTAAACTACAATTGTACGTTTTCCTGTTATTGTATAACAATAATTTTTATATCATTAATCATTATTTATATTCTTTTACATTATGTAAAAATTTCATTTAAATTAGAGAATATGATACCCTTATTCCGATACCCCCTTTATAAAAAATTTAAAGTCATTAAAATTACGGGACAAACGCAAAGGTCATATGCCCAGGTCAGACCAAAGGTCATAGGTCAAAATAGTTAAATACACCTTGAAGAGCAATAAATAAACTTACATTTAAGCTATTGTTCATAAAAATCTAATTGCTTATAGAGCCAAGGTGATATAAAATGTGATAGGATTTCCCATACCAATGACAAAAATTTAGGAAATCACCCTGGCTCTATAAGCAATTAGATTTTTATGAACAAAAAAATTATTAAAGTTTTGCCAGATTAATTTTCACGTGTGCGACCTTATATTTGGATTTTTCTAAAGGATTGACAGAAAAAGAGAAACAAAATGTTTTGAATGAAACGCAAAATCTTGTGAAACTTCGGTCAAGATTTGTGATTCAATACTACTATTCATGGATTGAATGCAATTATCTTTACTTTCAAATGGAGTTATGTATCGATAATCTCAACAATGTTTTGGAAACTAAGAAATCATTGTTTAATGAATTGATAACTTGTTTTGAGTTTTATATATCGTATCATATATTTTGTGAACTCTCGAAATGTGTGCAATATTTGCAGAAAAAGCATATCATTCATAGAGACCTCAAACCGGATAATGTGTTGATTTCAATGGACGGATGCATAAAGTTATGTGACTTTGGTTTGGCTAAAGAGGTCCCAAATTGTGATCCGTTTCTTATGTCTAAAGCCAAACATACGGCAGATGTGGGAACCGTTGACTATATGGCACCGGAAGCCCAGACTAATGAATACAACCATTTAATAGATATCTACAGTCTTTCCCTAATTGGGGCTCAAATTTTTAATTTCGATACAAACGATATAATCGACGGAAAGTATGGTTTCATTTAAAATAATTTTTTTTATAAAAAATATATTAATCACTTTTATTAATATGTATAATATAACTCGTGTAACTCATAATTATATTTCAATTTTAGGATTAAAACAAACGGAAAATATAACAAAGTTACCCATGAATTGATGCATAAAATGAATGCATTATTGGTGTCAATGAGTGTTAATAAGTATCGCAAAAACGGTTCAACAGATTGGAGACAAAGACCCGAATGTTCGCACATTTTATCACAATTTCAGACAATTATGACAAATAAACCCATTATTGGAGTCAAAGAATTCAATTCAGTATTGAATGCTATGATTGTCAGAAAATGTGACATAATTTACAAACTATCTATGAAAAGCAAAACGTTTTGTATAATCCATGTGACTGATGGAAATATAACTAATGGTTAGATATTTATAGTTTAATATTAATTAAAAGTGAAAACCTTACTATGTACAGTATTTATATCTCTAGATGCAACTGACATAAACGCAATTAACAAACCAATGCTTGAAATAATTAGAACACAATTTACTGGGAAAACATGTGAAATACATGAAGTTAAACATAAAACTTCTCAACAAATGTATTCGTTATATACCACGTATATAGGATTATACAGTAAGACTTATTGTAATATACTGTGTTTGTGAAAAAAATGGATTGTAAATTTTTACTCTGCTTTAATACTACAGTATTAAACAGATCATCAAAGTATACTATTTCATTGAATTCATGTTAATCCACGCAAATGCATAAAACCGCTATCACTTTAGTTCCAAAATGTATCAGGTACAACCTCTGTTAGGATGACCAGAAATTTTTGGGCATTAAGGTGGACATTTGCCATAAATGTAGTGTTATAAGGAGGATGTTAGGAGGACAGGCTATTTTCTAAAGCTATTTTTAGTCCACAAACGCAAATGCATAGAACCGCTCTCACTGTAGTTCAATAGTGTGTGTCAAGTACTGAACCTGTACTGTATGTGTACTTTATTTACTTTATTAAAATTGTAGATGTAGTTCCCTGTTAAGTAATGGGTTGAGTGTATTGGTTCAAAAATCCAAATAGTTTCTGGCGCGAAATTACCATTATTATTATTACTAAAATGTGGAATTATTTAGTATAATTTTTTATGATAATTATTGAACTATTATCTAATTTTTTATATCGATATTTAAAACTTGTTTAATATATAGAAACTAATTTTATGTGTAAATTCTATCTAGATAAATATACCTTGAAATACATTAAAGCATTGTCTGAATATGCGGCTAAAAACGAGTGCAACTCATGGATAGAAGATAATGAGATATTCATTCAAATGAAATTGTGTTCAGACGATGAGATTAAATTAATTGGCCATGATCTGGATCAACTGGTTAAATATTAAAGTGCATTCAGTATTTACACCAAGCATAGTAGTTCATAATTGCCATTATGGTTTAATATAAAAATTGTAAACTTATCCTGTAATATATAATTGTTCATGTTACACACATTTAATATAATTATTGTCATTCCAGTAAAGTATTTTAATCCTGGAAGAAATTTATTTTATTACTTTAATTATCTATTAGTAGTACCCTGGATAGGATTACTGTAAATCAGATGTGTTCAGGTGGGTAAGAGTGAGCATTATTACAGTACTTGTAATCATTTTATAAAAACTAATTACAAATACCATAACACATGTATGAGTAGGGATTACTAATTGCTTATAATGAAAGGGATTATAATAATCACAAATACCATAACACATGTATGAGTAGGGATTACTAATTGCTTATAATGAAAGGGATTATAAAAATTGTCAAATAATATAACATTAATTAGAATTGACTCTAAAATTGTTTACCTGTAAAAAACATAAATAAATAATGTCTGGACACATCTGCTGTAAATTTAACATCATTTATTATTTATGTATTTCAATTTAAATATTCATTAAATTTTTAATATTCATATTTATATAAAAATACATTTTTTGTTTTCAAATAGTAGTTTTTAATTTAATACAGATTTCTAAATTAATTTTAAATTAAATATCTATTTACATTTGGTTAGAGACATGCAATCATTCAATTAAATATGATTTTTAATAATTTTTAATTACTTTATAAGTCTTATAGATATATTCAAATTTAAATTATATAATTATTCTGTTTTTATAATAATTTTACTACTTATAAAAATATTAATAAACTGTATTTTTATTAAAACAGTACTGTATAAAATAACATTTAAAAATATTTTAATAATTGTCATATAATAATACAAATTAAATAATGTTTTACAATAATTCTTGAACTGAATTCTTGTAAAAATATACTAAATAATTAATTGTATAAGGTCATTAAAACCAAAATTAAACTATAAATTGTATACACAATTTTAATAAATTACATTTATGTGTAGGTTTCATAATAAAACAAATATTACCATAACTTGTGTACAGGTTGACGCAGGTATTGACGTCGGTTTTACCCAGGACACTAGTTTTTCGGTTATACAAATTAATTTATATCCAAAATATCTGTACATAAGAAATAGTAATTATTTCTTTAAAGGAAACACCATGCTTCACAATCAAACGTATCCGATTCTATTTCTAGGCTACAATCCCATTGTGACAACTACCCGTAACTGACCAGGATACACCATTGCAACAAAAGCGCACCTATAATTCCAACTCTATGACCGGGAATCCGGACAATTAGTTTACATGACAGGGATGATGCGTTATTTTTTGGGTTCCAGGGATTATCATCGAAGTAGAAAAATGTGTCCAGGCTAATATGTTGGTCACTAGTACTGGCATACAATCGAATGCTACGATATGTGGGCTCAGTATGACTGCATGACTCAGTGTGTGCTAACGTTCCTAATGACCTTGATATAATTATTATACAATTATATTTATAATTTGTTATCACTAAATAGTATTTCACCATGTAATTCATTAATAATATTTTTTATTGTAATTTTTAGGAAAAATGTGTTCCGAGTAAATGTTTTATATTTTATCCGGATAAATCTTCAACCATAACTAAAACTTTTAAAATAAATTCCATTAATAGAATATTATTAAATGTATCAATAAAATATTATTTTTCGAACATTTAATAACTTGAATTATTTACTAAATTGTAACTAACTACATCTAGATTTACGTTTTTATGTAGTAAAGTATTTACCATAATTTTGTAAACCTTTAAAAACTTTAGACCAGTTGTTCGGTGGCTTTAATACTTTCACACGAATGCAAACCTGGGATATGGGATCCAGTCATTTACTTTGAAGTAATCAAGCAAAAACCTTTTCCTAATTATTATCTTCCTACCTAATAATTCCTAACAATTATCGTCATAATTGAATATTAGCTATAATATTTTATTATAATTTATTTTTATTAAAACAGTATGTTTTGTATGCGTTTGGAAAGATCAATCAAATCGCGTCAATCAATCAAAATTCAGTAAAAACGCCAAGTCTTTAGTAAGTCTTTACTTAATTAAATTTTAAAACATAAAAATTTATTTATTTTATATTTACAGTATAAATATGGACCTTCTGATACAAATGTGATAACGCGTTACCATTTATCTACTGTATGAATATTAAACTGTAATATTGCGTATGATTGACGGATAATATACATATACTAAATGTAATAATAAATTATAGTTTATTAAGTAATATTATTTTAATTAAATTTAAATCTCTTACGTACTTAAATAATTGATGTACATTATGACGATAATTGAATATTGGCTATTATTTGCTGTTTTTACTGAATTTAATTAAATTTTAAAATCTTCCTGAATAAATTAATATTATTTTTTATTTACAGATTCTATGTGGAAATTCTGATAAAATCTGATAAAGTACCCTAGATAAAGTATAAAGTATCATTGGATTGCATCATGTTTTCTAATGTCCAGATATGTTCGTGTTGCTTTTATTACTTTTGTGATATTTTATTTATAATGTGAATTTGTTTATTATTTTAAATAAAAAGTGCAAACAATAGCTATAAAGTTACTGAGAAAGTTCAACGATGTTTAATGAACGTAGGAACTAATAGATTATCTAGCAAATTATTTTGTACGGTACCCAAATTGATAGAGATAAAAATATTATATTATACTGCATATAATTTATAGACAATAAGATTGACAATAAGAAAGTCATTTGATTTACAAAAGGAACATATTATGCACTTGGTCATGTATTCATTCAAATGCAATAATGCTAGCAAAATGATCTGTATTAATTTATTAAAGCAAACAATTAATTTTCAACAAAATTATTATAGAGTTTTATTTAATATTTAATAATAATATTATGATAAATATATATCAAACAATACACACAAACTGTATGTACAGTATTTTAATTGTCAATATTGTTAATATAAGATACACTACTCTATTGTTAGAACTATTTAATAATCTCAACAACCTGGCTGATTATTAGCTTAGCAATAATCATATTATTTGTTTAACTTAATAAAGTTAGGATACGTGTTATAATAGTTACAGTATATACACTATAGTGGAGTACATTGTATAAAAATTAATAACAATTGTCACAATTTTGTATAATTTTTCTACAAATAAATGTTTATTGATTATTGAATTAATATAATTAATATTCATTGTTATTATTTGGAAAAATAATTTTATTTAATACAATGTCAACTGAAATTAATAATTATAAAATTTGTGGTCAAATACCACAACATTTAAAACAAGAAATTAAATATTTTTATGTTTTCAATGACTGGATGGGTAATAAAAACGTACTCCTTGTGACATTTGATGATATGGTGTATGGCTTGGGATCTAATAATGAGGGTCAGCTCGGGTTAGGACACAACACACCCATTCATACACCACAACGAGTGCCAGAATTATGCCATCAAAATATAAATCAGTTCTTCATTGGACATGTCTTTGTATTGGCTGTCAATACGGATAATAATGTGATATTCAGTTTTGGTGGCAATAATAGGGGACAATTGGGACGGCATGTGGATATGGATTGGAATTTATACCATAAACCGGATACTATATTATATTTCCAAACAAACAATTTAATTATTTCACAAATAAGTTGTGGTAAAAGTCACACAATTGTGTTGACATCAAATGGACAGGTATTCGGGTGGGGGAGTAATGACAGGGGACAGGTTGGTTCTGGCAATAAAAGTATTAAATTAGATCCAACTTGTGTTGAATTTGAAACTGAATATCAAATTAGTAAAGTGGAGTGCAAT